CGGGGATGGGATTTGGAGACCTGGGATGGGGGTTTGGGGACATGGGGGTGTCCCCAGCCCCAGGGGTGTCCCCGGGGGGGTCCCGGGGGGGTCCCTCACCCGAGAGGATGAAGAAGATGCCCGAGACGAAGGCCAGGAGGGTGCGCTGGGGCCGGATGTGCCCCACGTTGCTGATGACGAAGGCCGTGAAGACGAGGAAGAGGCTGACCATGGGGAAGGGGGTCGCCGTCCGCACCGTCTCTGGGGGGGGCGGGGGGCAGCTGGAGCCGGCCCTATAGACCCCTCCGCACCCCTATAGACCCTCATAGAACCCTATAGACCCCTATAGACCCCTCCAGACCCCTCCGTACCCCTATAGACCCCTCCAGACCCCTATAGACCGTCATAGACCCCTATAGACCCCTCCAGACCCCTATAGACCCTCATAGATCCCCATAGACCACTATAGACCCCCATAGACCACTATAGACCCCTCCACACCCCTATAGACCCCTCCAGACCCCTATAGACCCTCATAGATCCCTATAGACCCCTTCAGACCCCTATAGATCCTCATAGAACCCTATAGACCCCCATAGAACCCTCCAGACCCCTATAGACCCCTCCGCATCCCTATAGACCCCTCCAGAACCCCATAGAACTCTCCAGACCCCTCTAGAGCCCTATAGACCCCCACAGACCCCTCCAGTCCCTATAGACCCCTCTGCACCCCTATAGACCCCTCCAGACCCCTATAGACCCCCATAGACCCCTATAGACCCCCATAGACCCCTATAGACCCCCATAGACCCCTATAGACCCCCATAGACCCCTATAGACCCCCATAGACCCCTATAGACCCCCATAGACCCCTATAGACCCCCATAGACCCCTATAGACCCCTCCGCATCCCTATAGACCCCTCCAGACCCCTATAGACCCCCATAGACCCTTCCAGACCCCTCCAGACCCCCATAGACCCTCATAGACCACTATAGACTCCCATAGACCCCTCCAGAACCCTCCAGAACCCCATAGAACCCTCCAGACCCCTATAGA